CCCCAAAACCCCAAAACCCCAAAACCCCAAAACCCCTTATGAATTTAAATGAATTGAATTTAAATAATTAAAATAAAACTTCTACATGGCAAAGCTAGCTACCAATATAGACCTCCTGATCTCAGGCATGAGGGTTGGAAGGAGAGACCCTGACAACCCAACCATTGCAGCCGTAGGAGAAGATAAGGCCTTCTTTAGCAAACCTCCAAGTTATGAAATCCAGCCTAAAATTCTTAAGAAAAGACCAGACATGGCAGGCGGTTTTAAAATTCCTGAAGAAATTATGAAGAACAGAAACTCCAATAACCAAAGAATGGACACTGATGGTACTGAAGAATATGAATTACAGGATGAAAGTAATATTATAACAAAAGACGAAATCATAAAGGAGCTCAACCTTGCTTCTGGAGCTCATCCCTCAGGTGAAGCTGAGGGCTCATTCACTAAGAAGGGTCTTGCCAATGATTTAGTAGATTCTATCACAAAAGAACTTGAGAAATTACGACGCCAAAGCGAGAATATTCAGACCAGGAAGAACTACTTCACCAATGAAATCGTTGAAGAACCAACTGAAGAAGAAAGAAACTTAGAAATAAAGAACGGTCTTGAGGATATGGGGTGCAATGTTATTCACGCTGAAGAAGAAAGAGTCCAAGCTCAAAGACACCAGACAGGGCAACTCGGTGGTTTAGGCGCTATCACACTTGAAGAAGTTCTAGAAGTCAGAAAACAGACTGAAGCAAAGCTCAAAGACCTCGAGCTGAAGTATTACCAAGATAAAGACAGACTATACATTAGTGAAATCATGAGAAAGAAGCTTCAAGGTTATAATAGTGAAGAAATTGACAGAAAAAGAGAGATGCTTATGAGGGAAAAAGACAAAGAATACTATGCCCTGGAAGAAAAAGCAAATGCTATCCTCAAAGAGAAGGAATTCAGAGCAAGCGCCTACAACCCAGAGCGGACATGGGTTAGAAGGATTGCTCCATATAAGGAAAAAGATGGCGAAGAAGTTGACGAAGCTAAATTGCTAACAAAGTCAAAGAAGAGTTTTGACAAACCCCCTACAGAAGAAGAGATCAAGCGAATGCTCTATGAAGCCAAATTTGCAAAATATAGAGTTAACAGAAAGCTCAAGGAGGAGTATGACAGCGGTAAAAAGAAGACAGAAGATTTTGATCTATATTTAAAAGGCAAGGAATCAGTCCATGCCAAGGCTAAGAAGATTAATTGGGATGACCTCTTCGCACAAAAGCTGAGACCTGAGAAATATAGCACTGATTATGCTGTCTATCAGTCTGATTTCGACCTGAAAATGCTCAATATCATTAGAAAGAAGTTAGAACAATTAAGTAAAGAGGATAAACTTGTGTTCAGTATTTTAAAATGGATCTTCAATGCACTCAAGAAAAAGGATGGATACATCTACAGAAAAGAATTAGTCGACCAACTCGACCAGAACATTGATATTTTACAGTCACTAGGGTTCGAAAGTATAGAGGATGTCTCACATAGCCTCGGACAACTCAGAACAGCCAAGACAGGCAAGTTGTCTTGGGAAGAATTTCTTGACTTCTTTGGAAGCAGAACTGAGAGTTATAGAAAGAAAACTGGAGAGCCGTGGTGGAAAACTGAACAAGAAGGTAGAGAGCTTTATATCCCTATTAATGAGCAGAAACCTGCGAAAGTAGACTCAAGGTCAAGAACAGAACAGCTCAATTCCCAGGCTTATGTGAGAATGAAAACTAAGCCCGATGGAAGTACTGTCTTTGAAGAAAACCCCGATGACCCTCAAACAGAAGCTAAAATGAGGAAACTCACTGAAGCCAGAGTCAGTAAACTCATCGTTGAAGATATCGAGAAAGAACTGCAAGCTCTTAAAGGTTCACAGAGAAACAGGACGAGCTCCCCAAGCAAAGCTGACAAATTCAGGACTACAGCTACTATCGGCGGATTAGTAAGAAGCTCCCACCCAGAGATCTTCAGGTCAGGACCAGAATGTCTTCTTCAGAACTCTCATATGGAACTACTACATGAAATTTTTAACTTAACTGATAAATACAATGATGGAATTGTGAAAATCACTGACTTGATCAACAACATCAAAGAAAGCAAGGATATCCAGCTAAACGAAGAAGCCATCAAACTCAGACCTGGACATACAAAATCAGATCACTCAGCAGGAATGACTGACACCGGAGCGATGACTAAGAGCCAAAAGCCAGTCATTCTGACCATAGAAGATACCCTGAAAGACCTGCACAGGGCTCCTTATATCCATGATGAAGAATCTGATGATGAAAGATATAAACACAAAGAATACATTACTTGGGATGAATTCGTAGACTTCTTCGAGGACTACAAAACACCAGAAGACGTCATCCTTCAGAATAAAGACAAGACTCGAAACAGGATCGAGTTCAAAACCGATCGAGAGAAGAAGGCTGAGATGCAGAAACAGATTGAGGAAGAGAAAGACAGGAGGCTTGAGAACCTCCCTCGCTTCAGAGACGATGACATTATCGATGCTGATGAGAAGTACCTGGACATTGTTTACAATGTATTTGACTCCTGCGTCCGCTCTAAAGATAACCAGAATGCTATTGAAGCTTTAGAATTCTATTTAAAACTTAAGAAAACTTCAGAAGTAGTCAAAATCAACGGAACTATTGCAAGAGAACCTTCAGGAAAGTCAAAGATCGCCACTGAAACATTCTCAGAAGTGTTTTACAGAATGGAGAAAGAACATCAAGAAAGGTACATTGATTGGCCTACCATCTTGGAGTATTTTACAAAGCGAGGAAGACCACTGACTCAAGAAGAAATCGAAATTCGAAAGCAGCAAGATTACGATGAAGAAGACGAGTTTGAGAGAGAACAACAAGAAATTAAAGACAGAGAGGACAAATTTTATAATGATCTTGACAACGAACATTCTCAGCTCTCTTCTCCCAGACGAACTCGTGAATTTGAAATACCAGAAGGCAGAGACGACATTGAGGATATGGAGGTAGTCAGCAGCGCAAGAGGTGGGTTCAGATCAACAATCCAGTCTAAGAAGAAAGTGTCTTTCAAGGATACCTTCAATGATGGATCATCTACTTTTGACAGACCTCAGACAGCCTCAGGAAGGATTACCAAGTCCTTGAAGGAAGAAGTAGTCACTGGAAAAGACTACACTAACCACAGAAGAGCTAATAAGAAAAGGAAAGGCAAATCCAATGAGAGAAGAATTACTGTCCCTAAACCATTCAAGTTTGACACAAGAGATAAAATCAGACCAAAGTCTATTAGAGAGAGGAAAGTTGATGAAATGATTGAAGAGAAGAAGATAAAGGAAGAAAATTTACTCCAGCATATTTTCAGAGCCAAACAGCCTCATAAAGACATTATCACTCCGAAGTATAACCAAATTATGCAGAAAAATGAAAATAGAAGGAAACAAGTTAAAGATAATTCATCCAAGATTCTCCTTGAAAGACAGAAACCTTTCTCTTTCTACGAGAGAGACATTGAGAAAAAGGAAGCTAAAAAGAATCAAGATCCTTATATGAATGAGGAGTTTTTGAAGCCAGTCTTTAAAGCCAAAGAAGTCCCAGACACAACCTACGGGAAATCCTATAAAGAACGCCAGAAGATTCAAGATGAGGAACGTGAAATCAGAGTCAACAGGCGCAAGCAAAAGAACCTTGTTGCATCAAAACTCCCTCCAAGAATGGAACTTCATGAAAGGCAGAGAAGAGAACAGGAAGAAAGATACTCAGAACAAGGCAAGAAGGAAGATTTATCCAGATTTGGCACATTTGAGCCTCCTAAAGCTAAACAAATTCCTGATTTTGATAGACTCCAGAGAGCATTCCAGGATGGACTTGACAGGAAGAAGACGAGTGCCAAACTTACAACGCCAGAGCCTTTCAAATTTGAGAACGAACTTAACAGAAAGAAGGGAAGTAAGACCAAAGCGTCACTCAGAACTTTCATGGATGAGGAGAATGACCCTAGAGGGTTCAATAGAAGCTCTACAAGAAAACCTGGCTATATACCTAATCACTCAAAGCCAGCTGTTAACCCAAAGAGTACGAAGAAGCAGGCGGGTCTTGAAGAGAGAAGACGTAAAGAACTCGAGCAGAAAATGAAAACTGAGTTACAAACAATCAATGAGAACAAAGAAAGATACATGAAACAGAACAAGCTTAAAGGTTTGGTTCAAAATATGTATGCAGCTCTTGATAATACTCATGAGAAGAAGAAAACCCGAGTCTTAGATCTCCAGCACAAGATCCTCGGAATGAAGAAGGACGATAAAAATAACAGAGAGAAGATCAAAGAAACCGTAGAGAAAGGAAGAAACAATCCATTACTGATAGAAAGATATCAGGCTGATAATGAAGCTAGAAAGAGAGAACTGGACGGCCTCAACGCAATACGGATGGTCAGAGATTCTATGGTAAAGAATAACCTTAACCCTCAAAAACATCTTAACGATGACCAGCTTGATCAACTTGCAGATGCAGATTTCTTAGACAAGCACAAGAAAGGGAAATAAGCAAACTTAAGCATTAAGAGGAATATCAAGATTTACCTATTTTTCAACTACTTCTTCCTAACTCGGGGTTTTGGGGTTTTGGGGTTTTGGGGTTTTGGGGTTTTGGGGTTTTGGG